AGCAGATGATGAGTGAATGTTACCCAAATAATGTGAAAAATCTGACAAGGATATCAAGACTGGAAGGAGTTGAAAAGGCTCTTCTGTCAGTGGAAAACTGCTGGCATCCCAGAGGAAATCGTGATGGTTTCTAATTGATCTCAACTGTGTTCTTGGCATAATAGAATCGTTTTTTCTGGAAACCTGTTCGTTAAAATATTTCTTAAACTGCAATCTATAATCTGCTGTTCATGGCTGCTGTTTTTCTTCCTTTTTTTTTTTTTTAACAAGATGACATTAGCTTAGTAATTGTTTAGCTATTTATCAAGTGCGGTAATTGGGTAGTTTTGAGTGAATCTGTGGAATGTATTCATTAATGAGCAGAAATACAATAAGCATTTGACTTCAGATTTTATTAGAGCTGAAGAAGAGTAACAGCAGGTTATTTTGTGTTTTGTTTTCCTTTACATAAATAATTCCTTCTCCATTAAAATATCCTTCCTAGCCTACGAAAAATAAGTAAATTCAGAGAACATGGTTCTCCTGTTGAACAGCCTCTTTTCCCCATTGTAGCAGGTAGTGAGTGCAAGTCATTTTGGCTTATTTTGAAACAGTTTTGATTTTAGTGCTGTGAAAATACCATCACATGAATAAGAGTGGAGGCCTATATTCTTAGTATTGGTACGTAAATGGTGTCAGTCTAATCTGAAATAACAGCTCTAGTGATGCTGTTTGCTTAGGTACTCTACCGCAGTGCTGCTGTTTCTTTTGGTCTCCTAATACCACCTTAGGTGGTATCAGAATTTGTAGGAGTAATACATAGTGGTACTTAAAGATTACAAGCAAGCTGGCTATGGTGAGCAAGTTAGGAAATCATTGCAGGTCACCATAGGCACTACTGAAAGTGGCTGGTGCAGAACCCTTGGCTAGGGGAGCAAAAAGGGCTTCAGTAATCCAGATGTGTAGTAAAACGTGAGGTGTTGTGCAGTTGTTGATGTAAATAAAAGGCGTATTCTGGGCAGGTCATAGTGAAAGTTCTGAGTTTGCTCAAGCAGAAATGAGCACCAAAATGCAGCTGATCTGGGTGGTCACTACGCAATCTGGAGTAGCCGTGTGGTGCGTTGTGCTGCCTTCCATCCCAGGAAAGCTTTGTGAAGTAGCCAGCTGTCCTCCTGGAAAGACTTCTGGTTTTCATTGCCATCTCCTTTGAAGGAGATCTTTTAATCCATTCCTGAGAGAGTGGTATTTCATCTCCTGCTTTTCAGTGAAAGATGAAAAAGCTCTTTTTCACTGTTAAACATGACTATTAGCTTGTGTTCCTGCAGCTTGTCAGCAATAGGACAGTCAGTATCTATTTGTTTTACAAGTGTATCACAGGCAATCCTGCAGTAGCTTTAACTTAGCACACTGTCTTTTCACGAACGGGTAAGTAATAACTAACATTCTTTCCTTTCCTTGTTCAGATGTGAGTGTCCTAATTCCTGCAGTGTTTCCATTAGTTCTCCAGCCTACACAAACACTGAATTCCTATTGTAGTGTTTCAGAGGAAAAGTCTTTTGTTTTTTTTATGTAACACAGAGAACAACACCACAGGTATCAAGCAACAGGCCCTCTTCTTGCTTTCCTTTTGTCAACTTTTAAGAGTGAAGACTCACAGAAAAACACATAGCTAAATCTGTAAAAAGAACATAACCTGTATTTGAAAAAGAAGAAAGACACCACCACCCACCTGGCTCCATCCTCCTTTGGAGTAGTTTTAGGGAGTGTTAAGGTCTCCCCTGAGCCTCATACTCCAGACTGAACCATTCCAGTTCCCTCAGCTGCTTCTCATAGGACTTGAGCTCCAGGCCCTTCATCAGTGTTGTTCTTCTCTGGCCCTGCTCCAGCACTTCCATGTCTGTCTTGTAGTGAGGGGGCCATAACTGAGGTATTGGAGGTGCAGCCTCACCAGTGCCAAGCCCAGGGTGATGATCACTGCCCTGGCCCTGCTGGCCACACTATTGCTGATACAGGCCAGGACATGCCATTGTCCTTCTTGGCTGCCTGGGCACAAGCTGGGTCATGTTCGGCGACTGTCAGTCAGCACTCCCAGTCCCTTTCTGCCAAGCAGCTTTCCAGCCGCTCTTCCCAAGCCTGTCACCTTCCATGGGATTCTTGTGGCCCAAGTGCACAACCTGGCATTGAGCTTTGTTGAAGATCACACAGTTGTCTTTGGCCCATTGATCCAGTGTGTTCAGATCCCTCTGTAGAGCTTTCCTGTCCTCCAACAGATCAATGTTCTTGCCAAGCTAGGTGTCATTTGTGAATTTGCCGAGGGTGGACTTGATCACCTCATCCAGGTCATCAGTAGAGATATTAAACAACACCGTCCCCAGGAAACACCGAGCCCTAGGAAACACCACTTCTGTCACCTTGTTTTAACTCCATTCACCAGGGCTGTCTTCCAGGGCATGCTGATACAGTAAAATGAAAAAAGGCAGCAGTATAAGTGACAATTTAGTGCTACATTTTCATATAAATGTCTCTCCCCGATCTCAGACACACGCGTAAACCAACGTTGTATATTTCCTTCTCATCAGATGTGATTGTGTCGAACAAGGTTGACGTGATATAGGTAATGATTACTACATTTCTATAACAGCTGTGGTGTTTTAAGCAGTTTCTTCAGCAAATAATGAAATCCTTGGAGCTCTTTGGATGCAGTTACAGGAAAGCTGTGTGTAAGTAAAGGTCTGTCACTCTTTCCTTCCAGGAATACCAGGTTACCCAGACACTTTGTTTTTCCAAAAACATGTCTTTTTGTTACATGCCGTAGCAATCAAGGAAATACATGAAAACCAACATCTCTGTGCTTAGGTGAATGAGGCTGGAGCAAACCCCAGTCTGGAGGCAAACTACCCTGTATTCAAAACTCCTCATATAGTCAGTGTGTTCTTTTGCTGACCCCATCATTATTGTAATTTACTGCTGTTAACTATTTTGGTGCCTTTTAGTCCCCTCCAATTATACCCTCCCATCACCTTCCATTTTTCTCATCTCATGTTACAGCTGTGGAGAACGCAAAGTTTACAATGTTAGCCTCTTTAGTACAGGTACTGGTATTCTGCATTTTTAGGTGTCGTTTGTCTGGTTTTAGTAACTATTCTATACATACATACAGAGTTGTGTATATATTATTCAGTTTGTTATATAAATAATCTATATTTAGAAATATGTGTGATATTTCATTTATATGTACATGCAAGAAAGGAGTTTTTAGTTCATGTTTTCTTGCTATTTATCTACATGAGCATCAATTCATTTTGAGTCTCCTGTGAAACCTGTTTGCTTTCCCAATAGTAGTGTCCAGCTGCAGGGGTGAGAGGATGCCATTAAGACATGCTTTCACTTGCTATTTTTAGCCCATGTGTTCTTTCTTAGCTTTACATGAGTACATGTATAAAGTCGGGATATGTCTTACAGCACTATTTCCTGGCATTGGAACAGGAGGTGTTCTTGAGAAATGACTTTATTATGACACATGGGTGTAAGCTAAGTTCAGTTTAGCAGTCAACATCCAGATGGATGGTCAGGGACAAGCTCTGGCCAGATAACATGTCTCTGGTAAAATCAGCACATTTATCAAATGAGTCTTGCCTCTAAATGTGACGATGCTTACTGTACTGCATTTATACCTACAACTTTGAGCAGGCCAAAATTCAGAAGATGATGATTTAAGTCTGAACATGTATTTGAATGTACAATTTTCAGTCTGTCAGGCACACAAAATATTGAGAAGATGCTTTCTGGATTGATTATTCACAAATCTACAGAGCCCTTTGACAATTGCCTTGACCTTTGAATTGGTGATAGAGGAATATTAGCTGCTTTGGTTCAGAAAGGTCGAGGAGGTCACCCTGGAGAGATTAGTAACTAAACTTTCAATACATAACCATTATGAACCTTTGCAATAGACGGGATTTATTATCTTCTCTCATGAGCTGGAGATGCAGCAGGCATGGGAAAGGTTTTATTGGGTTATTTCCATCTTTTTTTTTGTTTCCTAATTTAAATTGAAATGAGGATGTGATAATTATCATAAACAGTGGCAGAAAATGCGTGGGACATAGCTCTGCTGAGCAGTTTTATTCTTCAGAGAACCAAAAATTGGCCCGTGCTCTCCCGGCGGCCTGGAAGTTCTCAGTTTGAGCTCTGCTTAATCTCCTCTCAGGGTGCATCTTCCTGACTTTGGATTGGAAAGCTCAGATAATTAATCTTCCTGAATATTTTTGTTATCTTGCTAATATGTGCATTCATGAGTGTACATAAAGCCTGCTGGGCTCTGTGGGTTAGATTGAGAGCTCTCTGCCTAAACTCTGCAAATGCTGGGATTTTTTTTTTCCTCTTCAAGATAGAAAAAAACATTTTGTAATGGTATGAAAGATTGGATTTACTGGTATAAATAACGACTTTTCCTGCTTTTCTCCAAAATGCCCTTCTAGCTAAAGCTCTCACCTTCTTACAAATGTAAATACAACTTATCTCCTTCAAAATCTATTAGCAATTTTATACTAAAATATGTGTAAATTTTTGGATTTATTTGGGAGTATGCTAATTAATTGTGGGAGTAATTCTTTGTTTTCCCATTTGTGAGCAATTCAAAAGGTATTATTAAAAACAGTAAGAGTTTTATCAACGTGCATTTACATGGGGCATCACAGGCAAAATGTTTCCCTAGTAATAGTGCAGAAATTTTCTGCTTTGGGATGGGGATTTTGGGCTCTTGAGAAGTGCTAGGAGCTGTGCTCTTACTGTCCCTGACAGAAGAAGGCTTTCTTCTCTGATGCCATGAGTTTGTTGACTTTCATTATCAAAATACAAGATAAAAAATGCACACAGCCAAAAAGATTTCCTTTTGTCCTTATACTTTCTACTGATGTTATTCAGAAAATGCATTTTGCTTTCTAATCCTCACTTGAAGAGAAAACCCAAGAAGTGCTCACTTCTACGCTCTAAGAGCATGTTTGGTTTTTCTTTTTCAGACCTGGGCCTGGATCAGTTTATAGTGAAGCGCTATGATGGGAAGGTGAGCATAATAGACTATTAAGTCTGTATATTAGTCAGTGTTTCCTGTTTCACCTAAATTCCTTTAGTTACTACCTCCATGTGGGGTCTAAGTTAAATAATATATTTGACATATTCTCTTTTGAGCTTTTGTTGTTTAGTAGCATTGCGGTGTTTTTTCTGTAATGGCAGAAAGTTGGGTGGTTTTTTTTTAGCGGTCTTATTTTAACTTTTACAGACAATGTATTGTCTCTTCTTATATACTGGTAAGCCAGCAAACAGGTTGTAATCATGTTTTCTTGCTGCTTCTTTATGCCTGTATGAGAGTCCCACGAGTTAACCCCATTTGAAACTCCTTTGACCTTTTCCTTCCAGACTCATCTCCAGATTTCTAAAGGAAGGAGGCAGTCTTGTGATTTTTTTTACCTGCATACCAAGCAATTGTTTCCCCCTCTTTCAAAAAGCATTACTCCGTTCCCCTTTCGAACCCTAGGTCCTTCCTACAGCGATACACAACTGTTCTGGATGTTTGTGCTGTCATGATACATGTTGGTAAAACGTTGGGCATGATCTGATCTAGTTTTGTCTGCTTGCGTAAGAGGAGCCACATAGCATCCAACCTGTTGTGGAAACCAGAGACCAAATTAATCACACTGTAAATCCTACTGGTATGGAGGAGTACAGTAAAGACAGCTCTGGCCCAAGAACTAGCAGCACATATCGACTTCTTGATGCAGATAACTTCAGGTTACTTAATTTTGCATCATTTCACCATGGGCACATAATGGTATTCCACCTTTTAGCAATATTTTCATTCCATCTGTATCATCTGAAAATAAAGCTTTTGTGTTTCCAAAGGGAAGTCAGCATCTGATCCCTTCATTGCTGAGTGGTGTACCTGACATATAGTGTCAGGATTTACAGAAAACCTCGATGCTGAAAAAAAAAAAAAGTATTTAAAGCTTTATATAAACACAGCGTGGGCTGAACACACACAGTTCTCTGTCTTGTTTTGCGTTTAGTAGGGAAAGGTAAGGACATTAAGGGTATCAAATACCTGGGGCCCCTGTCGTCAGCAGTGTACAAGTGTTCTGGTTACCCAGGCAGCAGAGCAAGATTTTGCTTGAAACAGGTAAGTGGCAGCTAGTATTTTGGCAGTTAGTTTTGATGCATAAAACTACAAAACATGTTGTAAACACTTGTTTTCTCCTCCCTGTGTCACAAACCCAACTTCTGCCTTTTTTGATTCAAAAAAAGAAAAAAAAAACCCAACCAAACCGAAAGTACATATATTCTTTGCAGAATATCAAATGTTTCTCCCTTTGGTTTGTGCGCTCACTTTTGTCATTTTATCTTGTCAAACTATCACACTCATCCCTTAGGCTTTATATAAGCAAGATTTGTTTGTAGGGAAGAAATGCTGAATCCCACATTATTTTTGCTAATCGTTCCTCTGTTCCTGAGCACTCCGCAGTTGGTTCCTATCACATTGGGTAAAAAAGGTTCAAAGATGATCCCTTAGCTTCTGTTCCTCTGTCCTTCAGCACCTAGGGCTTGAATTACAGCACATTTGGATGTCATGGACAGTCACCACACAGGGGTATTGAAAAGCCACAATCAGTGTTTGATATGGAGTTGCTATTTATGTTAGGGATAAGCTGGAGAGTATGGAACTCTCTGGGGAGAGGTGAGCAGTCAACAGAGAGTTTGTGGGTCAGGGTTAAAGGGATAACAGTGATGGGAGACATTATTGTGTGGATCTATTACAGACTGCTTGATCAAGAGGACTCTGTGGATGAAACACTCTATAGACAGATAAGAACAGCCTCATGCTCGCAGCCCCTTGTCCTCACGGAGGACTTCAACCAGCCTGATATCTTTTGGAGGGATGGTACAGCCCGCCACAAGCAATCGAGGAGGTTCCTTGATTGTGTGGAAGACAGTTTCCTTCTGCAAGTAATAGAGGAGCCGACAAGGAGAGGTGCCATGCTTGACCTTGTGCTTGACCAACAGGGAAGGGCTGGTTGGAAATGTGACACTCCAGGGCAGCCTTGGTTGCAGTTATCAGGAGATAGATAGTCGAATTCGAGATCCTCAGGACAGTGAGAAGAGCGTGCAGCAAGCTCATTGCCCTGGACTTCAAGAGAGCAGACTGTGGCCTCTTCAGGAACCTGCTTAGTAAGGTTCCATGGGATATAGCCCTAGAGGGCAGGGGTGCCCAAGACTGTTGGCTGATATTTAAGGATCACCTCCTGGAAGCTCAGGAGTGTTGTATCCCAACTAGAAGGAAGTGCAGCAGGAGGGCCAGGAGACCTCCTTGGATGGATAAGGAGCCCCTGAGGAAAATTTGAAGGAAAAAAGAGGCTTATAAAAGGTGGAAGCAAGGACAGATGGCCTGGGAAGAGTACAGGGATGTTGTCCAGGAAGCTAGAGACCAGGTTAGGAAAGCTAAGGCTCAGTTAGAATTAAACTTGGCTAGGGATGTTAAAGATAACAGGAGGGGATTCTATAGGTACGTAGCGAATAAAAGACACACTTGGGACAACGTAGCCCCCCCCCGGAAGCTCTCAGGAGAACTGGCTACCCTGGATTTGGAGAAGATTGAGGTTCATAATGACTTCTTTGCCTCGGTCTTCACTGGCAAAGGCTCTGACCAGACCACCCAAGTCTTGGAAGGCAGATGCAGGGACTGTGAGAATGAAGACCTTTGGCCCACTGTGGGAGAGGAACTGGTTCGAGACCATCTTAAAAATCTGAACATGCAGAAGTGTATGGGACCTGATGAAATCCATCCGTGGGTCCTGAAGGAGCTGGCGAATGAAGTTGTGAAGCCACTGGCCATCATATTTGAGAAATCATGGCAGTCAGGTGAAGTTCCCGATGACTGGAAAAAGGGAAATATAACCCCCATTTTCAAGAAGGAGAAAATGAATGAGCCAGGGAATTACAGACCAGTCAGTGTCACCTCTGTGCCTGGCAAAATCTTGGAGCAGATTCTCCTGGAAGGCATGCTAAGGCACATGAAAATCAACAAGGTGCTTGGTGACAGCCAGCATGGCTTCACTAAGGGGAAATCCTGCCTGACCAATTTGGTGGCCTTCTATGATGGGGCTACAGAACTGATGGACAGGGGTAGAGCAGTTGACGTCATCTACCTGGACGTGTGTAAAGCGTTCGACACTGTCCCACAGGACATCCTTGTCTCTAAACTGGAGAGACATCAATTTGATGGATGGACCACTCGGTGGATAAAGAACTGGATGGATGGCCGCACACAAGGAGTTGTGGTCAATGGCTCAATGTCCGGCTGGAGACCAGTAACAAGTGGTGTACCTCAGGGATTGGTGTTGGGACCGGTCTTGTTCAACATCTTTGTCACTGACATGGACAGTGGGATTGAGTGCGCCCTCAGCAAGTTTGCCGATGACACCAAGCTGTGTGGTTCGGTTGATCCGCTGGAGGGAAGGAATGCCATCCAGAGGGACCTTGACACGCTTGTGAGGTGGGCTGATGCCAACCTCATGAGGTTTAACCATGCCAAGTGCAAGGTCCTGCACCTGGTTTGGAGCAATTCCAGGCACGGCAACAGGTTGGGGAGAGAAGAGATTCAGAGCAGCCCTGCAGAGAAGGACTTGGGGGTTTTGGCTGATGAGAAAATGAACATGAGCTGGCTTCAGTGTGCGCTTGCAGCCCAGTAAGCCAACTGTATCCTGGGGCGCCTGAAAAGGAGCATGACCAGCAGGTCAAAGGAGGTGATCCCGCTCCTCTACTCTGCTCTTGTGCGACCTCACTTGGAGTATTGTGTGCAGTTCTGGTGTCCTCAACATAAAAAGGACATGGAACTGTTGGAACAAGTGCAGAGGAGGACCATGAGGATGATCAAGGGGACTGGAGCACCTCCCATATGAAGACAGGCTGAGGAAGTTGGGTCTGTTCAGCCTGGAGAAGAGAAGGCTCTGTGGAGACCTCATAGCAGGCTTCCAGTATCTGAAGGGGGCCTATAGGGATGCTGGAAGGGACCCTTCATTAGGGACTGTAGTGATAGGACAAGTGGTAATGGGTTCAAACTTACAGAGGGGAAGTTTAGATTGGATGTAGGGAAGAAATTCTTTCCTGTTAGGGTGGTGAGGCACTGGAATGGGTTGCCCCGGGGAGGTTGTGAATGCTTCATCCTTGGTAGTGGTCAAATCCAGGTTGGACAGAGCCTGGGGTGACATGGTTTAGTGGGCTGTGTCTCTGCCCATGGCAGGGGGGTTGGAGCTAGATGATCTTAAGGTCCTTTCCAACCCTAACTATTCTACAATTCTGTGATATACCCTGCTTAGTGCACATGCATAGTGACTATGCATAGTCATCTGTGCTCTTAGGATCTTACTGTTCAGCATGGTGAAGATCTGTGCTGGCTGAAGGCTGGAGAAGAGATACCGTTTGCCTTACACGCTGACCACCTTTTGCTCTGACCTATATTAATGTGAAATAGCTTTTTATATAACTTACAGATGCTGATTATGCACTTGGATGTCTGCCTGCTGAGGTTTGGGTAGTCTGAAAGTGAGGCAGCAGACTGGGGGAACTGCAATGCATTTTCTTTATTGTTATCTGCTCTTGGGATCTATTTTTTCCACAGTCTAATAACACCCTAGAAGCAGTTTCCCCTGATAATGAAGAAATAGAGGTTCCTGTTTGCTTGGTTGTCTGCTTAAAGATACTTTGGGACTGGTTAAATCTGGCTGTGAATATTAGGGTAGCAGTAATGTCCAGGCAAAACGGTAATTTGAGAAGAGTATAAATAAGTTGGCCTTGGCTCTCCCTTGGTAATGAAAGAAGCTGACAGTAGATTGATCTGTCTGATAGCATCTTGTTCTCATTTACTGCTTGCTTTGGGTTTCAGTTTAAAAAACAACACTGTCTTTACTCAGTCAAGCACTAACTGAGGTGCTGCGGAGCTGACCTTAATCATTCAAGTTTCACTTGCATAGTAGTACCTGAGGGATAAAACCCTTTTTTATCTCTTCCTTCTTC